AGGGAAACCTTTAATCTCAGTCCGGGATTTTACTAATCGTTCCCTGGCACTAGAACTTCAATCTACTACGATCCCATCATAATGACGCGTGGACGTGTTGCAATGGCATGCAGGTGGCAAATCTGGCACACAACAAGTTGGCAAGACGATTATTTCAATAATGAGGTGACAGCTGACTCCCGCAATCATTCGCCCTGCCTCAACGGTTGCCCGGGTAGCGTAAACATTGTGCGGCTGCGAGAGGACAAAATGAACCCTGAGACTGCGGGCCTCGGGCGACAAACACTTGCACACACACACACAATTCCGCATGGCAAAGGCAAGGACAGCGCTCTCTGTCAGCTGGAACTCGTTGTCAGCGACTTGGAGCAGCAAGCCAGCCTTGCACAAGGCGGACAGGGCAGTTGACCCAAAGCTTGCTTGGCGCAGCATCTGCGCTGAATCCTCGTAAGCAGCCCTGCTCACGCAAAGTTTGAGGATATGCGCGCACTCATCCTTCAGCGAGTCAGAATCAGCTTCAAACTCCATCTCAAAGAGCAGGGGCGTAACTGCCACAGCTGGCTCAGCTTTCCAGGGTGTCTTCACCTACGACTTGCCTACGACTATGAGTGCTTGTGCCGGGGTTTCTGGTCTCTCAAAACTTCTGTCACTTCTTTTTTGAAATCCCCGATCTTGTGATTCTCGAATCTTGAACTCGCCAAACTCAACGCTACTTCGGAGTTGGAGCTTGTTGAGAGCGTGGCTTGAGATTGCAAGCGCAACGTGTTGATTGGACTCATGATGAGATTCCACATTAGTGGAGACCCCCTTACTTGATCAGGGTAAAACTAACGGAGTCAGGGCAGTCAGGGCATTCCCGGAGTGTCGGAGGGCTTTCCTTATTGATGGTGATTGGATTGAGATTCCCCCCAACTCAGAATAGAATATCTTTGTAGCCCTTTCAGAAGTTTGGTCCTTTCTTAGAGAAGCGGCTTAATCACGGAGTCACGGAGGATGCATTTGAAATTTGCAGAATAATTTGCAGCGTTTGTGCCACTTAGAAGAACCCTTGGATACCACCTGTGGCATTCGGCCACCAGTTCGATACCCCTTCGAGAAGCATTCGGCGAGCTTTGCAGCCTCCGATTCGGGTCCGAAGTCCGGTCCGTGGCACTGCTGCGAACCTCCTTCGCCTCCTGCTCACACCTCTCAAGGCAGATCGTCCTCCGCTGCCAGGCCACCAGGTCTAGTTCAGCCGCGCCGTACCCTTCAACAAAATCGGGGGGGGGGGGGGGTTATTAGTTATTATGGCATCCAGTCTTGCACGTTCCCTGTGGAAATCCCCTTTGCTACCCAGAAAAGGCGGAAACAGGCCAAGCCCTGAAATATTTGTCGCATCTATGTTTCTCTTCATTCACGATTCACGGTCATGACCACCCGGCAAAAAATGCTGGAGGTAAATAATAAACATAAACCTAATCGAACTTTCCCATTTCACAGTCGGAACCAATTGCATTGAACTGATGTCTATTCCAACATTCCAAATTCCAAGGGTCCCCAGTCCCCAGTCACAAAGTCCCAAGTCCCCAAATCCCCAGCCTGACCTTGAAATTCAAATATTCCTTTCCACAAAAGCCCAGTTGGAGTCGAAGTTGGCGGTGTGTTTGCTTAGACATGCATCATGCGCTTACTAAGAACTCCTCGTTGAAAATCAATAATTGCAATGATCTATCCCCATTACCATCACGGCCCATCACGACGCATTTCAAAAAGATTACCCGGCCGTTTCAGGCAAGATCAAAAACTCGTTGAGCGCATCAGTGTAGTGCGCGTGCAGCCCAGGAATGCCCAGGACATCTAAGGGCATCAGTACAGACCTGTTATTGCCTCAAATTCCCTTGGGTTAGAACACACAAAGCCCCTCGAAGAAGTTGCCCATTGATCATTGTGGATTCGTGGATACCTAATCCACGCAGGAAACCTGAGAGCGGCGGTGCGGCGGCGACCCAATGGCAACCTTAATAAATGATCCGGCCCCCAAAATGCCCTAAGCCTCAAATCCCAAATCTTGAGACTTCAGGACCTGAGAGGTCAACAAATCAACAAGCTTAACTGTTTAACTGGCCCCATTAGGTACCTGGCGGCAGGCGGTGCGGGGAGAGGGAGGACAGGAGGAGCGACCCCAAAACAACACCGTATAGACGAACTAGCTGAGGGGGGGTTTAGAATCGTCTGACCGACTCGGCAACTTACGAGACTCACGACACCCAAAAACAACACCACCACCGTGTAGACGAACTAGCTAAGGGGGTTTAGAATCGTCTGACCGAACGACACCCCAAAACAACACCAACACCGTATAGACGAACTAGCTAAGGTGGTTTAGAACCGTCTGACCGATCGACGAGCCGTTGACGGCGTGGGCGGCCACGGTTGGCGCTTCAATCCACCGGCGTGTGCTCAGGAGTTGCTTCACTGCTTGGCCAGCGGGCCAGCATGGAGGTAGTGCTCTACTGCTCAG